GCAAAAACCCACTAAATGGCCTGTTGTAGTTGTAATGAATTATTCACTAAGATTAGCAAAGAGAATTATTTTGCTGAGAGATCAAAGCTCCAGAGACACCTTTTGGAGGGTAGAATTAGACCACTCAAATGAAAGTACAGCACAATCATAGTGATTTTAAGGTGACTATCTAGCCATATTCAATGGCATTTTACTATGGAAACAAGGACATAAACCGTCTCTTTTTAACCTGGCTAAATGCAATTTAACTAAGTTAACCACCATGAGCTTAATGGTCAAGCAGTTCACAAGCTTATATTAGCAGTCAAGTGGTTCATGAGCTTAGCAGTTAAGCGGTCCACGAGCTTAGCGGTCAAGCAGTCCACAGGCTTAGCGGTCAGGCAGTCCACGAGCTTGGCGGGCATCCAGTGGTCAATCCCATAAGTGCAGGCTCACATGGCACGTGCAGGTAGCTTTGTACAGTGCTAGGATCTTTGAGTTCTTCGTTTAGGGTTTGTGCAGCTGTCTGTGGAGTGGTTCTTTAGCTTCTTCCCCCCCTCCCATCCCTTATTTTTCCATGGCTTGGTTGTGGGGATTTGCCAGCCATGGGGGTAGTATTCTATATAGGGACTGACTGGCCACAGTGGAAGCCCCTGGGTATGCCATGCACCCACCTTCCACTTAAGTGAGGCAGTTGGTTAAATATAGTTTATCATAATTATTCTTGGCTTGTTACAACACTCTACCATCAAAAATCATCATAAATCTATGACAGGTTCTTTTTCTTAGGAAAATACCTTAAGGAGGGGGGTGAATAAGGGTATGAAAATCCACCGATCCATCATGATTGATTAACCATATCTGCCATTAAAAGTTCGCTCTGAATCTGAAATCCAGGCAAAAATATTTTGCTACAAGCAAAGTTAAAAACCTGGGCCCCAAAAATGGATAAACCCGCAATCTGCTGCAATTTCACTTTGAATCCCAAATCCGGGCAAAAATATTTGCAAAATGCACTTGGGATGGACTATCATGTAAGTAAAAAGGTCACTCTGACCTCTCTTTTAATAGAATAATGGTAAAAAATGGCCTAAACCATTCTCACAGTTTGTTCCTGCTGAACAGTAAATTATTTTCTTTTTATGGTCTGTAAGGTTGCAATATTCCTTACCTCTGTTCTTGAGTCTCCAAGGTTGTCTGGAATGACATCAAAACTTAGACATGGAGCATTAGTTTGGGCCTTGAGAAAATTACATGAAAACATAAAAAAAGATGTTTCAGTTACTCATGAACAGCAAATAAGAAATTACAGTGAAGTTGCACACGTATAGTTGGTATGTTAAACATTTTTTTCAACACATCTTAGCTACATAGGGTATAGCTATATAGATACTGCTATATTAAGGTATTTGTCACCATGGAGGGAAGGGATTTCAAGCACTTTACAGATGTGCATAATTATGTAGTTTGGGTCAGAGTATACAAAGGTTTGGTCTAGAATAGAGCTCGAGGAGACTTCACTAACTAAAACAATGAATCATCTACAAGCAGTTTAGGTTTGCATTTGGCACATTTATTATTTCTTTTTTAATTAATGATTTAAACAAACAATTTGAGTGATTATTTCATCAACTACTTAAGGTGCTCAATGTAAAAATTAACTAACCATTCATAATTTCCTATTAGTTTACATGAGTACTTACAGCATGGTACATTTCATATGCAGATTTGTCGTAAGTAAGTTCATCTCCTTCCTCCATCTCATCACCAGGGAGAAATACCTAAAGGTATAGTTAGTGACAAGAAAGAATAATAGTTAAATTACAGTGAATGATATGACTACATATAACAGAAATTTCAACAACATAAGATCCAACCATACATCTGCCCACTTTCCAAGATGGTGTCAAGGACTGTATATATCATGTATATAATTATGATGTAGACAAATTCCACATAAAAATGGTGTTGATTAGATTTTTCAATATTTTTTTTTTCTGGCTGACAAAATGTGCACACCTCTTTCTTTTCCTCTTTTTTCTTCATTTTACCTTTGGATTTCTTTTTTTCTGCAAGTAACAAACAGAAGGAATAACTACAGGGAGCATAATAAAAAATCAAACTACTACATCGAGAGTCAAGCCAAGATACAGTGTAAGAATGAACTACCAACACACATTTATGCTTTGCATTACACTATGAAAACGTTCTGTTTTGTCTATACATCTATGCATAAAGATATTTTCTGGATTATATTTTCAAGAAAATGTTTTCAGCATACCTGAACTTGATTCTTCTTTGCCTGGTAACATGGTTTCTTCATCATTTTCATCATCAACCTCAATGCCACCATCACTATCATCATCACCTTCATCATTGTCATAGATCTCCATTTCTTCACCTCCAGAACCTTAATGCAAAAATCAACATGTATGCAACACCTTGCAAGATCTTATTAAAAGTTGAGGATAAAAAAGAATTTAAGATTCAAAGCAAACCATAACCTTAATATCCTGAGTGACACTGATCTCAACTGAGTCTTATTCTGCTACGATGATTCTGTTAAAGTGCCTTTTATAAAATTAATGTGCTAAGTTTTTATGGAATGATCAACTTAATCCTAGTTCAACCTCTGCGAGTGCCATATGCAAAGATTTTAATACTTGCTTAACATTGAGGTCAATTTGATGGAATTTGTAAACGTAAATCACTGTAAGATCTGTGCATAATGTATAAACTATCCTGCACCCTAGCTTTCAATTTTCGCTACTACAGAGTACGAGTAAATTCCTTACTCCAAAAATGTTTGAAACTACCCCTCTATGTACTTGTCAGTGATGGCAATTAGGGCACAAATTAATAAAGAGCCAGAAATTAATCTGCAGTTTGGGAACACACCAAGGTCATATATTCTAATTCTCCTGGATTATCTGTCTCCCACATATGGCACAAATCCCCCTGTCTCCTGTATGGGTTGTAAAATCTCCTGGATAAGATCAATTTTTGAGCTCTTAAATTCTTTGCTTTAGTTGGGATTCACTAATTCGCTCAGCCCATTTCCCCCTTAAATGCTAAACGTGCTAAAAATGTTAACAGTTTTCAGTCAAGTGACAAATCTGGAGTGTGCAAGGCACTGTTTACACATCATATGATTTCAGTGGGAAAACCAGCTGTTCATTGATTTGTCAATTTCCTATTGGACTCCTGAGAGGAAAGCGACTCAAAACTCCACTTTTATTAAGATCCAGGCAGTCAACTATAAAGCCGTAAGATCAGCATTCATTCGATAACATTGTTATATTATTTTTGCCTTTTTTGTACTCCTTGTTGGAAACTAAGAAAAAACCAGCAGTGAGGGGAAAAAGAAAGAAAAAATACAGACTTAGTTTGTTGAATAAAATAATGGTCCATGCAAAACTTCCATGAGTTTTGAGCAACTTTGTATCATCAGCAAAATCAACTCTTACTTCTTTTTTAACCAAGTCAAAATCTGAATTGTCACTGGCTTCAAAAGCCAAAGGCAACTAAGGTTCCCTTTGTAACGACTGTGAAGCTACCCTGTATGTAAACAAAACTGTCTACTGGCCGAGAGATAAGTCATGTCGCATTAAAATGCTAAAAAAGATTACAAAGCTAAAATGGTTTCACATTTGAAATACAGTCAACTCTCTCTGAGACAGACTCCTCTGGCACCGGCACAGAATGTCCGTGTTTAATAGGTATATGTCTAGTGGCCAACTCTAGGTGCCCGTTTTACAGAGATGTCCGTCTTATAGAGGTGTCCGTTAAGAGAGAGTTGACTGTATTAAGCATAATAACAAAATGATTGTCAGTCGATATAAGCTTCACACTCAGCAGCTCAAAATATATAAACCATGAAACATAGTTTGCACTGCTGTCCACTACTTAGTAATTCACTAATAAACAATTATTGTTTTGACAAGGATCCTAGATCATTTTATAACGGAGTGAGTAATCATACAAACCTTCAACGCATTCTTCGTCCGCCATTTAATATCAAAGTGCTCCTAAACAGCTGAGCAGTCGTCCTATAATTAAATTAAATAATAAAAATTGGCACGTGTGAACTCAAACCTTGACATATTCCTTACATGAGGCTTTTAGTCGCTAAATGCAAAACCCGCTGATTAGGACCCAGATTCCTTCGTTTAATCACTCGTTCAACATGGCCGACTCAAAGAAAGAAACGAAGACAAAAACTACTCCAGGTGTAGTGTATTTGAGTCGATTGCCTCCATTTATGAAGCCAGCTAAAATAAGGAACATATTTTCACAATACGGGGAAGTTGGAAGGCTATTTTTGCAACCAGAAGGTAAGCTGTGTACGTGTACTTCTCACTCTCTATAAACTTCTTTAGACAGCTTTTATAGATCTTGATTGTAACTTAAAGAAGGAATCCGTTAGGAAATTGAGTTATTTTAATTTTGAGTTGGACAAAAAATAATTGTACCTGAATAATTTAAATAATATAATATTCTTTTTTACATTTTTGAAGGGCTACAGATGTAAGTAGTTATCTGTATAAATAACACCAAAGAAAATTTCTCATGAGAGCCCGAGAAAATAAATGTCAGATTTCACAAAATGATGCCTTACACATGACATTTTCAGAATTTTACCTGTGTTTTGATAATTCTTGTTAAATTTGACTTGTATTTTCTCAGGCTCCCAGGAGAAATAGTCTTTGGTGTTATTACAGATAACTAATTATATCTATAGCTGTTTAAAAATGTAAAAAAGAATGCGATGCTTAAACTACTCTGGTACAAGGTTTTTTCCACTGAAAATTGAAATTACTCAATTTCCTGAGGGATTCCGTATTAAATTCTTTTGTATTCTGCTATTAGTCCATGAGCCACTTTGTAGGAAGTCAAGGGGCTAAAAATGCAATTTCGTAGCTCCAAAACAGGAAAACTGGGGGGTCTTGTGAGTGGTGGGTAAGAAGAAACCTTCAGGAGATGTACATTTTATGGTGAGAACTACAATCCTGGTCAAAAAGTCTGACCTCAACTTTGTTCTTGGGGGGAGGGGTAATGGAAAAATCTTGTTAAAGCTGTGTCTATGAGTGAGAATTGCTGGTTAGCTGCAAATTCTGTACAAAAACATGTGAAAAAGGGAAGGTGTCCCAAAGCTATTTGGCCAGGATTGTAGCCACAGGAAACAGGTGACATTTCTAACACCAGTCTTTCTGTGAAATGAAATTTGAGGACTTAGTGCAGAAATTCTATATTGATGAGGTGTCACTACCCTAAATTTTCATAACACTTTTGTCTGTTTGAATTTATACTTTAATAAAGGGTGAAACTAAGATGACCCACAGCTTGTTACTGTAAGTAATCGATTAAGCTCCGCTACTCGAATAAGCGCCACACTCGAATAAGCGCCGTACTCGATTTAGTATCGCACCTTTACCGAAAACAATTTCATAAGCGCCGCTCTCAAATAAATGCTGCGGCGCTAATTTGGGTATTTACAAATAAATGCCCCACCTTTGTTACTGCGCTTGATAGAAGAGATATCAAAACCATATCTCTTGAGAAACAAGACCACGACCAACTCCCTCCCTATATTCCCCTCAGTGTTTTACCCGTAGTTGAAAAAGGCGAATAAGTGCCACAGCACTTAATTGATCATTTACGGAATATTAAGAATGTGAAATGAGAAACTTCTTTGAAATATTATATTACCAGCAGCCCACTCTTGCAGGGAGAGTTAGCACATAAATTGGGGGTGGTTCACATTTCCTAGTATGGTGTTGGTACAATAATTCAATTGTGTTGTGTTTGCACCCTGGGTGCCCGACACATAACTGTACTTTGCTCCATTCTGCCCTGTCAAACGTTATTTAAAACATGATGTAGCAGGGAGTACAAAGCAGTGGATTACCTTCAAACTAACGGAAAACAAGTGTATATAGCAGGGCTTTTGATAGGTCGTGGAAAAAAAGTCAAATTTTGGGGGAATTTTTAGGAACAAAATCGCGGTAATTTTCAGGGCAAACTTGGCCGGAAAGCAATCGGTAAAAAAACGGTGGATTTTGTGGTTATTTTCAGGACAAATTTTACTAGAAATCGATCGGTTTTGTGCTGATCAGACCAGCGTTTTTAATGTTTTTCTAATGGAGATCATCATTTGCTCTTTCAACAACAATATGTTTCAGAAATGAACCAATGGCAAAGCCTTTAACATCATGGCTAGTGCCCAGATTTTTGCAACATAATCTACGCCTGGTAGTTTTGGAAAGTTGTTTGCACATTTCAGTGACGAAGTTTTGACACAAATTTGCGAGTTTACGGCAAGTAAATACCCCCAGTAGCTGAGACAAGTTTTAAAATTGCTGTACAGACATGTATTTGATAAGATTTCTACCGAATTTCACGGCATTTTGCATGTTTTTGTGATTTTCGTGGGATTTCGCGGATTTACCTGAATTTCGCAGCTTCGCGACCGCACGAAATATTAGAAGCCCTGATTTAAGGACCTGCATCCATTTCATGCCTGAGTAAAAGGTGTAAAATTGGTATTTGGACACCAGCACCATGCCCTATGTGTAATGCTGGTATGGGTACTTCAAAAAAGAGTATATACTCAGACAACTTACCATGAAATGCTGCCTTAGACTATTGCACTTTCTATAATTAGATTGAAAGGTCACAGGTGCTTTATGGCAGTGTGAAAGGTGCACAGGGCTTTACACTAGGGCTCATGCCTGCCTTGACAGACATGATTCCACCTTCTTTTTAAATGTGCAATGTCAATATCAATTTTATTACCTCCAGCCATATCCATAATTTTTTAGTGAGATAAATAATTATTATAAAAAGGGTCACTTTTGAAGACAGCTGTGGAGACAAACAAGCAAATTATGTTCTCACTCATATGGGAGGTGGGGAAGAGTCCTTTTATTCTATAGTTTTTTTTTTTTGTAATTTTCATTCTCAGATGTTGCTGTGAGGAAAAAAAGAAAAAAACATGGTGGAAGTGGGCGAAAACTATTTATAGAAGGATGGATTGAATTTAAGGACAAGCGGGTTGCAAAAGCTGTGGCCTTGAGCTTAAACAACACGACGATTGGTAATGATATTAACTGGTTTGCTACAGACTGTAGGAAATGTCCAGTTACTAGTGTTTCTTCTAGAAAGTTATTTTTCTCCAAGCTGTCTGGCCACATATAATTAATAGGAAGTCAAATTCATTTTACAAGAGAAGCTGATTTGTTTCACAATAGGTACCCCAAGCTCACAAGTGCATAACAGAAATATTATAAGGGTTTGTATGGGAATTTTAGCGATCATCATTTAGGGCAGGGTATTGGAGGCGTGTGTGGCCGAGTAGTTAATACTTCAAACTCAGGCACCTTTTCCGTGGTGCTAAAAAGGGTTATTTTTTTTTGTCTTTACCTCTGTTAAATGGCCACCTTGTCAAGATGTAACATAAAAGTGCAATATACATTCACTAAGTATTGCATTCAGTGGTCTTGTACTCCCTTTATTTCAGCACAGGAAGAGGCAGAAACATTTTGAGGTCAACTTGTCATGTTATGGATATTTTGCTTTGTCACTATCTTCATTTTTATTGATTAACTCTTACGTTCATCAAACCTGTATTAAATAGTTCATTGGCCATTTCACAAGGGTGACTGCTTAATACATGTTTGACTGTATAATTGTATTATAATCTTGTTTCTTCCAGGAGGAAAAAAAGGGGGATACTACCATGATGATATCTGGAATATAAAATACCTTCCAAAATTCCTTTGGGGTCACTTGAGTGAAAAGATTGGTAAGACCATGAGATGGCTATTTTTCACTTAAATAATAATATTCTTTCATTGTTATTCAATGGAAAGTAGATAATTGGTCTCGAATTACTGTTGGAAACAAAATACCGGTGCCAGTGACAAATGTTTATGAAGGCTTTGTTTTAGCATAATTCCATAAAAATGAAGGCAAAATTCTTATTTGTAAAACTATTGGATCTACTATTCAAGAAAAGGCTCTCATTAAAGGCATTATCTATTCGAAACCTCCCCCTCTCCCCACCTAGTGTCAGTAACCCTCAAATGGTCTTTGTGACCCCTGGCATAAAATAATCTTAACTCCTTAAGTCCCTACATACATGTAATCAAGAAGAACAGTTATGATAATAAAATGATTACCTAAGGGAACCTTAGGTGGCCATCTTTGATCATTTGACAAATTCCTCTCAACTAATTTTTCAAGGAAATACATGCATATGGAGATCAGGTGGAGAAGGTTTATGTGGATATTGGGGCTAAAGGGTTGACTAAAACACGGAGACAAGTATGGGTGACTACTCGCTGACTGAGGGTACAAATGTGCTGTATTCAGGTAAAAATGTGGAGTTTCACTATTAAACTTCTCTGATATTCTTTCTTATTTTCGTAAGCATATGAAAAAGCCACAAAAGAGCAGAGAATGAGAACTGAAATTTCCCAAGCCAAAAGAGAGGCCAATTTCTATATTCAGAATGTGGAGAAGGGAAAAGCTATAGATGCCATAGAGACAAGAAAGAGGAAGAGGGATGATCAGGTTTGGTGCTTGATTGTTTTATTTCTGTTCAAAAAAATAAAGAATGAGTGAAGGGAAAGTACACACACACATTATGTCATATGCTGGGTAGTGGCTTATATGGCATGGCATTGTAGCCCAAGGAGACTGGAAAGGAGATGATGATGATGATGTCATGGTGATAAAGCTTTAATATTGATCTATTTTACGTTTATCAGTTTCACAAGTACTTTGTGTATGTTTTCTTGAAGAAATTCTTTAGGCTAGTGAAGTTAATATCGACATAAATGTTCTCAAAACATAGCCAGTCTTAACGTCTTAATGATGCTGACAGTTTCGATGACTGTCAGCCGTCTTTATCAAAACTTGGAAAACATTAAAATCGCTTTTAATGTTTTCCAAGTTTTTATAAAGATGGCTGACAGTCATCAAAGCTGTCAGCATCATTAAAACGTTAAAACTGGCTATGTTTTTTGAGAACATTTATATCGTTGTGTATGTTTTGGGTGAAAACTGTTGACAGGTTGAACCAGCATTCAGATCAACCTAGTTTGATTCAGAATTTCTTTGTTTCCTAGCCCCAATTATGAGGGAGCTTAACAAAAACATCACTTAAAAAGTGTGTTTGTTCTCCTTCAAACTTTATTGCACTTATTTCATCTCTTTAATTTCATCAAACGTTGACAATTTTTTAGGGGATTTGAATTCTAAGGGACTGTATCAAAGTTCAAGATAAGAATTAGGCAGTTTCACATTGTAGTTGGACAACGATGGCAAAGAAATGTAAAAAAGAGCGTGATGCACGTGCAGCGTTGTTGTTTTGCCAATCTAAACCTATTGCACTTTTGACATTCTCGTCAGTCCTTGCCACCATCGTCGTCGCTTCCTATTCATAGAGGACAAAGGAAATACTGGTTTAACCTGGGGCCAGTTTAATATAACTTTTACAAGTGTAATTTAAAAGGATAACCATTGTTTTAGAGTCTGAAAACAATAGCTACACTTGTAAATTACACTGTCGTGTGATAGTTTTATGAAATTTGTTGACCCCTTAAATTACATACCACTGAGCTGCAGGAAACTCACTTGAGAGCCAAGGCCATTAAACTAGGTTCATGTGACAAATATCCTGTATTCTGCTGTGTCTGGAATGTTGATACATGTATGGGGCTTTTGTACGTGATGATCGATTTTTAGCCTGGTGAATGTGAATGGTACCTTTTGAGAAGAAGAATTGTATCTATATATGTGGATGAATGTTTATTTTTCTTTATTGTTCTGAATTCAACAGACACCAGTGGAGAAAAGATTAAGAACTTTCAATCAGCATCAACCCTTAAAAAATAACAAAACAGAAGAGAGTAAACACGCAGAAACTGATTCTACTGAAAATGAAACTGGGAAATCACTTAGTAAAAATCTGCTGAAAAAGGTAAAACCTGTCACTCTGTCAACTCTTTGTAAATAATTCTTCTTAGGCCTGTTTCAAACGTCCAGCGTGCTATTACCGTGCCGAACTCAATTGATAGAATTAATTCGACTTTGGCACGGCAGTAGCGGGACGTTTGAAATCATTCAGTTCAGCAGCTTGAATTTAGTTCGACACGGCAATTAAATTCGTCAGGGTCTGCTGTGCAACACGGCAGTGGCACGGCTGGGTTTCAAACGTCGCGCTGTTGACGTGCCGAACTCAATTCATAACTTATGAAAATGTATATGTTCAAGTGTTTTGACTCTACTGTGACTGACTGCGATGTTTTTCTTTATTTTGAATTTGGCGCGACTGAATTAAATTCGACGTTTGAAACCACTCCCTGCTATTGGCGTGCAACTGCCGGGTCAAATTCATATGAGTTCGACACGGCAGTACTGAGCGGGACGTCTGAAACGGGCTTTAGAAATTTCTCTCATTTCCCCTCCCTCCCCTCCTTTCCAACAAACGTCTTCGTTAATTATTTTCAGCCATGCCTTTAGGCTGTAAACGATGTTGGAAAACGGCTCCTAACAACAGACATGGTCAAAGCAACAATTTACTTCTACAGTAATTTATGAATTAAGATTAAAAATTTACGTTGCAACACATCCCAGTATCTTGGCCAGGTATAATCAAGCTGCCCGGTCATAATGGAAATAACCACCCTCCCCTATCAAGATTGATGAAATCTTTTCTTTGCTATAGTCATGCTTAAGTAGCCTTCCACCCAGATGTTCTGATGACTTTGTTACAAGTTTGGTGACAAAGCCTGGCTAGGAACGTTTGTGTAGGAGGCTAACGGAAATTTTGTTTTGTTGTCGCTTGAACGGTCTTAAATATAGACGTCTTTGAAAATGGGACTGCAAAAATTATCAACAGTTCTTATTTGCAAAGACTTTTTTTTTTTCTCTCAGACCGAAATTGTTGCTCGCAAGGCCCTTTGCGCTGAACCAATTCTTCGTATTCGTAACGGACGAATAAAGCTGTTCTGTAGCCTAGAAAGTCTTTTGTACAAGTAAAACTTGATTACTAAAGTACCAATATCCTATATATTATCTTGCAACATTTTCGTCAAGTGAATCTTGACAGGGGAACTTTTCTTTTTGAAGGTATTTTCTTCGAGAGGTCAAAGATGACAGTGAATAAAGGGATGCATCTCATTCTAGTTCCTCGTCGAAGCAAGCACAGGTCAACCAAGTTGATCACAGTTGATACCGACAAAATTGTCGCTTTTCAATTGGCAGAATAACTAGTAAGGGTAAATTCTAGGAAATTATGACATCACCAGCGACAAAGTAGGAAGCTTTAATTTCACGGCGTGGTCACTGGTGGATGGTCGCACAACTCGTCCACATTCTTGTCGAACAAATTTATCTCCCCCAAGTTTAAATCCGTAGGAGAAATTGAATGCCACACAGTCGTTTCCTTGTCTTTTTTCGCAATTTCTGGTCCAATTTTTATAGAAAAATGCATATGAATGAGGTAACAAGCGTCTCCCTGTGACCAAATGGAAGTTTTTAATGTTCTTCACAAAAGGAAATAGTCATTAAGACTTTGACAGTTTCAAAAAAAGGCCATTAAACACACCTGGTATATACCCCCCTCGGTTCCACCTTGGTTAACATGAAATTGACTAAAAAGAGAAGGCAGCAAAGGCGGGGTTTTCATGGTAAACAATGTCAGACAATGCTATATGCATTTCTTGCATAACGAATTCGGGCTTATCTCATAAAGGATTATAATGCAATTAGTGTTCATTGATATTTGTTGTTTTCTCACAGTTGATTTTTACACTTAGTTCAGTACGATAACATTTTAACATTGACTTGGTAAAACAGTTTTGCAATAAGCTTGCCAGCTTTTACTCTCTTTTTTTAATTCTGCTATATGTCCCCCAGTTGGCTGAATTTAAAAGACCGTGTAACAGAGTTTGAACTTAATTTTTGAGGACCAATTGTTAAAAAGCAAATCCTATCATTAATCAGTAGAGGATACTGTAGGAGCAACAATGCTACATGTGTCGTCGGACTCGATAATCAAGCCATTAAAAACTACGGAATATAACTAACAGCTGGATTCCCTTTAGTTATAAACAACTGTAGTTTAATTGTTTTTAGATACAATCAAAACCTTAAAGGATTAAAGAATTGTGATTAATGCTGATTTCAACGTGACGATAAAGCCAGTTAGGTGCCTAAGGGCGTCTCCGCCTCTGATTTTGGAATTGCATATAAACAATAGCCTGTCTTGCGGTATAAGTCTTACTGTGTTACCTTAGTAGCAGTTGTAAAACAGAACTATGTCGTAAATCAGAATTGAATGATCATGACTGTGGGAAAAATCACGCTACAAAAAAAAGAACATTGAAATGTTGACATGAGATATTATAACAGGTAGCACAAACTTATTTAATTTAACTATTTACAGCGGTCTTACCCAAGCGCGTATAAGAGGGATCGCACAAATGCATTCATTACCATTTCGATAGAAGTTTCGACAACTAACGGTTATGGCTGCTCCAGCTGCTAACGAAGCCCAGCCCCAAGGACCTCAGGTACCTCGTGTCCCACAGGCCAATGTGGTCCAGCTCATTCTAGCCGAACGACCTCCGCAAAAACCGATTTTCGACACCAACGCGCTTGAAGTAATGTGTCTATCGTTTTTTCATACTTCGCTAGCGCTGCTGCCGCTTTTCATGTGCACGTGTCGGCATGTTCTCATTTGTCCCTTCCCCGCGTTTACCTGCGTAGTGTTCGTTCTCCACTCCATCTAGCCTCCTGGCTTACGTTGTTCATTGCCTTGTTATCAGCTTTTCGTGCCGATATGTATTTCATTTTAGTTTTTCCGGCATGAGACGTTGTTTATTCGTTGTTGCTTCATGGCCGATGTTTTTTATTGCTTTGTTGCTGTGGTTTATCACGAGGGCATTTTAATATATTTGCTTTCCCGGCATGAGAAGTTCTTTTATTCGTTTGTTCCCTCATGGTCGATGTTATTCATTGCATTTTTATTACTTTTTATACCACAGAGTTTAATCCTTGGTACAATAGCTTTAGTTTTTCGCGTTGCTTTTACTGACATCTAGTTTCTTTTACTATCACACTTTTATGTGGTGAAAACTTTGCTTTACTTTCTCCGGCATTTTAAGTTCTTTAAATTGTTTGTTGCCTCATGGCTGATGTTGTTTATTCCTTGATGTTGCCGCTGTTTATTTCATAGGCTTTTTATTTATTTATTTGTTTCCTGTTTGTTCCATATGACTGGTGTTTGTCACATTATTATTATTATTAATTTTTTGGGGTGATAATTTTGGTTTAGTTTTTTCCGGCGTTAGAAGTTCCTTAACTTTGTCTGTTACGCTTTCCATGGTTACTACGCTTTACTAAAATGGAGTGGGCATTTTACTTGGTTTGCTTTCAGACATGACAAGTTTTATTAACTTGTTTTTTGACTCATGTACCATGTAATTCATTGCCCTGTTATGGAATTTTGGTCAATCGGTATTTTAATTTTATTCATTCGTCCGTTGCCTCGTTTTGCAGCGTCTTCTTACATTGTAATTAATCGATCTTGTTCTTTTGTACTCCGAGAATTCTGTTTAAACATTTGCCGCAAGATAAGTTCCCTTGTTTGTTTGTTATTTTGTTTAACGCATATCTTTCATTTCTGCTTCTCCGGCAATTGCGTTTATTTGTTTGCTATGTTTTTAGTGTTGTTTCCTTCTTTTGTTTCGCCATTATAGCACCATTTTCTTGTCACATGTTACTGATTTCAACGCCATTATTTAGCATTGCTTTCTTTTGTTTCCATAGTCCCGTGCGCGGTATCTTCTTCTTTATTGTTCTTTATATATATATAAATATATATACATTTTTCTGTTTCTTTGTCATTTCTGTTAGGCTTTTGTGCGTGATTTCTACGGATCTTTAGTTCCGCTCTCTTGGTTCCGACATCGTTCTTAACGTATTGCCTTGTCTTCTTGGTGTTTTTTCCTTTTTTTCCGTGTTGTGCGCTCTTCGCGGTCGAGACATTATCTTAGTCGTAAGCTACAAATAAAATTTGTTAATTGCTACTAGTTTTGTGTGTCCTTTTTCCCTTACCCGCTCTAGGGTGGCAGTTTTGAAAGGGAGTCAATTTCCCTCTCAGTTATTTGAGGCTCAAAACTGCCATCCCCGGAGCCACCTCCTCCATTTTATTTGCCCTTTTTCCTTTTCTTTTACCCCCTTCCATGGTTTTAAGGGTGCCTCTCCTACCATTCCACGGTGGGAATTTACGGCGGATTTCGACCCTACAAGTGTTATCAGTCCTTAAGTGCCCTGGGTCGGCTTTTATGGCTCGCCTCTTGAGGTGGCTCAGGGGATGAAAGAAGGCAACATCCATATTGCATCTAAGTTCGTAGATGTTATAAGTGGCCAGGCTTGCGCGAATGTTTCCATGCTCTCCTTCAGAGATCCCGACTCTTTTGTTGCTGGTAACCCACAAAATCATTTTCCAGCCTGGGAGCTCATCGCCAACATTGTCCCGTTTGATCTTGCGTCTAAGATTTTGCTATGGATCAAGAAGTGTGTTGATGTACACGATTTCTTTCAACCTTATAGGGGAGAAAACTTTGATTCGGCGTTAGCCCCGCATCGGATTTTTTCTAGCGCATCGTCTTGTAAACCGTTTGCTCAATTTATTTCTGATGCCATTATTGATTGATCTCTTAAGGACTCGGGCTATCTCCCCGTGGGGAAGGGTTGGTGAAGTTCCCCGTCCTCATTTGGTTATGCCGTTTATGTAATGACAACCGTTTTCTCAATTGTGGATCAAGGACATGCCATTTCAGCTTGATTCCCTTTTACGGCTCCCTCCAAGGTAAGACAATAAAATATTATTTACAATTCACAATTTTAAGTTCACGTATGTACAAGCAAAAAGAATCTACATGACGGTAACGTCCTGGCCCAGTTGTTCGAAGGTCGATTAACGCTAACCCAGGGTTAAATTTTAAC